TGGTGTGGTGTGGTATTGTTTGGTATGGTATGGTATGGTATGGTATGGTATGGTATGGCTTGGTATGATTTGGTATAGTTTGATATGATATGATATGGTTAGCTTGGTATGGCTTAGTTTGGTATGGTATGGTATGGTATGGTATGGTATGGTATGGTATGGTATGGTATGGTATGATTTGGTGTGGCTTGGTATGGCTTAGTTTGGTATGGTTTAGTATGGTATGGCTTATATATGGTATGGTATGGTATGGTATGGTATGGTATGGTATGGTATGGTATGGTATGGTATGGTATGGTATGGTATGGTATGGTATGGTATGGTAAGGAATGGTTTGGTATGGTATGTGATGTGATATGGTGTATTGTATGGTATTATGTGGTGTGTAGAGGTATGGTATATGATGTGGTATGGTATGGTTTAGTATGGTATGGCGTTGTATAATATATAACCATAACATAGTACAGTATATAAGCCATGAATTACTACCGTAATCTTGTTGCTTTAACCGACCTATTTCCAACTGGCAGTGTTAATCCAACCACCCCCTGACCAGAGCATTGCGTCGTCAAATACAGTATACCAACCACCATGCTTAGAAATGTTGTAATGCAGACTGTCTTGGTTGCTTGTATACCATCGAGTTCCATTCTTTTATTGATGTAAGCGCCTGGCGAATATTAACGAAAAATATATAAGATTGTAGTTTGCGAATGGATTGACGAGTTTATACAAGGTGTATAAAAAAAAGTAGATAATTTTGAAACGGCTCCCAATTTCACAAATCCGTTCACTTCATGAACTTTTTGATAAATGGAGATTGTTTGGGTCTTATAATGTTGAATAAACAAAAAAATTTCGTGAAGATAAATTTTCCAGAGCAAGGGGTGTCTTTTTAGCAGCATTAAAAATAGCTTGCACGCGAAGTTTTCGTCGTATCGTATCGTAAAAATTTATTTCAAGACGCTAGCCTCATCAACATATAAGTTGGTTTTCATGAGGGGCGTCGTCAATTTATATACAAAGTATTTACAAGAAAATACGTAGAAACAAAGAAAAACTATTTACAAGAGCGCATGCTGAATACAGGAGGTGTGACCCATACATTAACATTAGTAACAGAATCAAAGATTAATATTTTCTCTGAAAATATGGATTGATCGTCCCTCTTTTGCTTCCCGAGAAAGGCTGTATATAAAACGTTTTTTAAGAATTCCCTTCTCGGTTTTGGGAGAGCTAAATCAGTATAGCTATTTCTTAAGGTTATAGAAGATTTATACAGAAGAATGGAGTTCATCTTCTGTCTTCTACTTTTTAAAGTTTCCCAACCAAGAGTTTCAAGAACAACACTCAACAGCAGAATCAATTTCGTAACTTGCGCCAGCGATTATTCTTGCCGCACGATTTTGAAATTTCTGAAGTTTATCAAGCAGTTGTGTGCCACAAATGTCCCATACATAGTGGAGAACAGTAATCCAAATAAGGTTGAATCAAGGCATTGTAAATCATTTGGAGTGAGCTTACTGGAATGAAATTTTAAAACGCATTTCAAGTTGATGAGATCGGAGAGCCTGTTTTAGGTTTACTCACCTAAAATCTGTCCACCTAATATAGGCAGGACTACAGCAGTTCCATAAAGCCAGCTTATTTCGGACAACGGTGTAGCGAATAGAACATATATGACTTTAGGAAAAAAAGCCATTGCAGCTGTGATAACGAAATATTCTAACGCACTTCCGAGGCATAAAAATACGAAACCAGGAATCGAGAATAATTCCTTGGTCACTGCCGGCAGCTTTTTAATATCCATGTGGTCTATGACGTCGGATAGTTGAAACACCTAAATTTATGAAATCCAGTGTTACTACAGGAGGAAACCTAAACTAAACTAACTTTATTTATACTGGATAGCGCTATCAGTTCTAAACTATTCTTCCTAGAGGTCCAGTAAGGATCATTCCTTATTGATCCAGTGTTACTACAGGAGGAAACCTAAACTAAACTAACTTTATTTGTACTGGATAGCTCTATCAGTTCTAAACTGTTCTCCCTAGTGGTCCAGTAAGAATCATCTCTTATTGATCCAGTGTTACTACAGGAGGAAACCTAAACTAAACTAACTTTATTTATACTGGACAGCTCTATCAGTTCTAAACTGTTCTTCCTAGAGGTCCAGTAAGAATCATCTCTTATTGATCCAGTGTTACTACATGAGGAAATCTAAACTAACTTTATTTATACTGGATAGCTCTATCAGTTCTAAACTGTTCCCCATAGAGATCCAGTAAGAGTCATCTCTTATTGATCCAGTGTTACTACAGGAGGAAAACTAAAATAAAGTAACTTTATTTATACTGGATAGCTCTATCACTTCTAAACTGTTCTTCAACTTACATGCGATTCGTCGCTTCCATTATTTTCACCACCAAGAGAATTCCCATATCTTCTCGCAATAATTCTAGGAAAACCAAGCATCCACACCGAGAGAAATATAGCCATGAACATGCCAATGACGTTACCTATCCACCAGTTCCCAATCCATCGAGGATCGCTCGCGGTCAGCTCGGTACTGACGCCCATATCGACGTAGATAGACAGGAATATACCGCCCAGCAGGAAACCACAGGCCGCCCCTAGGTAAGAATGAACAGTTAAAGCAAATTTATTTATATTTTATATTGGTTAACTCTATCAGGTTCAAACTGATTTTCCCAAACTGATTTTGGGTTTATACCTTATTGATGCAGTGTTACTACAGGAGGAAACGTAAAGTTCTCTGGCAGGAATGAACCTGCGGTCCTGCCATTCCGGTGCAGCGCTCTATAAAATTTGCTTTCGAAATACCAATCTACAAAATCCTTCAATCCAATTGAGATACCCAAAAATTATGATTAGGGGCGCAGGAAGCATCAAAAGATGGGGGGGGGTGGCGGTTTGGAGGGGCACTTTTGGGCACCTGAAATTTTTTTCCGGAAATGTTGGCGACGGGGTGGGGGGGGGACTGCAATCATACAAAATGCAATCTGAACAACATTTTTCACGAAGGCAAAGGGCACTTTGCCACCGGAGAGTGGGCATTTTTGGTGTTTTCTGAAGGAAAAATAATTGCAATCATAAAAAAATGCAATCTGAACAACATATTTCAGGAAGGCAAAGGGCACTTTGCCACCGGAGACTCAGAAAGGGCACTTTTTGTGTTTTCTGAAAACTTGGAGGCCTTTGCCCCCTTGGCCGCCCGGTTCTTACGCCCCTGTACTTAAAACTTACCAACAGTCCCAGACGAACCAAAGAAGCCGATATAGATTGGCGCCACTTTCTTTTTGACGCTTTCGTCCAGGTATGCGATCCCCAGTACATATAGTGGTGCGCCTGCAATGCCGATCAAAAACATCCCGAAACAGAATATCGCAGGATAGTACCATTTTCCCACACCATCGTTGTCGCAGGTTTCTGTGAAATTTGTTGCGTTTACTGTGCATACGTCTGGTAGCTTTCTTTCTCCTACAAAGTGGAAAAATGTTAGGGTTTGGTCCATATCAAGCTCTATCAGTTCTTCTCCTTGGAGGTCCCGTAACAGTCATCTTTTATTGATCCAGTGTTACTCAGGAAGAAACTTAAACCAAACTAACTTTATTTTGTACTGGATAGCTCTATCAGTGTTAAACTGTTCTTCCTAGAGGTCCAGTAAGGATCATCTCTTATTGATCCACTGTCACTACAGGAGGAAACCTAAACTAAACTAACTTTATTTTATACCGGATAGCTCTATCAGTTCTAAACTATTCTTCCTATAGGTCCAGTAAGGATGTCTCTTATTGATCCAGTGTTACTACAGGGAAATTGCTAGATAGTATACTTCAAAATAAGGTTTCCGTTTTTATATCAATTTTTTTAAATAAGTTAGGGTTAGGTTAGGGTTATGGTTAGGGTTGGGGTTAGGGTTAAGGTTAGTATTAGGGTTAGGGTTTAGTTTTGCGTTTTTTCTACGTTATAAAAACGGAAAACTTATTTTGAAGTATATTATCTAGCAATTACCGTTACTACAGGAGGAAACCTAAACTAAACTAATATTCTTTGTACTGGATAGTTTTATCAGTTCTAAACTGTTCTTCCTAGAGGTCAAGTAAGAATCATCTGTTATTGATCCAGTGTTACTACAGGAGGAATCTTTAACTAAGCTAACTTTTTTTACACTGGATAGCTCTATCAGTTCTGAACTGTTCTCACTAGAGGTCTAGGAAAGATCATCTCTTATTGATCCAGTGTTACTACAGGAGGAAACCTAAAGTAAACTAACTTTAACTGGATAGCTCTATCGGTTCTAAACTGTCTTCCTAGATGTCCAGTAAGGATCATCTCTTATTGATCCAGTGTTACTACAGGAGGAAACCTAAACTAAACTAACTTTATTTATACTGGATAGCTTTATCAGTTCTAAACTGTTCTTCCTAGAGGTCCAGTAAGGATCATCTCTTATTGATCCAGTGTTACTACAGGAGGAAACCTAAACTAAACTAACTTTATTTATACTGGATAGCTCTATCAGTTCTAAACTGTTCTTCCTAGAGGTCCAGTAAGGATTATCTCTTATTGATCCAGTGTTACTACAAGAGGCAACCTAAACTAACCTAACTTTATTTATACTGGATAGCTCTATCAGTTCTAAACTGTTTTCCCTAGAGGTCCAGTAAGGATCATCTCTTGTTGATCCAGTGTTACTACAGGAGGAAACCTAAACTAAACTAACTTTATTTATACTGGATAGCTCTATCAGTTCTAAACTGTTCTTCCTAGAGGTCCAGTAAGGATCATCTCTTATTGATCCAGTGTTGCTACAGGAGGAAACCTAAACTAAACTAACTTTATTTATACTGGATAGCTCTATCAGTTCTAAACTGTTCTTCCTAGAGGTCCAGTAAGGATCATCTCTTATTGATCCGGTGTTACTACAGGAGGAAACCTTGACTAAACTAACTTTATTTATACTGGATAGCTCTATC